ACAGGTAAAACTCCCCCAAAAAAAAAAAATGATAAGAGACACTCATCACAGATCTAGAAGAGGCAATCATAGAATTTGTCTAGTATCATAAAAGACCCCACATTGCCAAAGCAATCCTACAGAAGAGTACAGTGGGTAGCATCTTGCTCCCTGGCCCTAAAATATATAACAAAGCTGTGATAATCAAAACAGCATGGTGTTGACACAAAAACAGATAATATGGACCAATGGAACAGAATGGAGACATCAGAAATAAACCCCAAAACATACAGCCAAATGATCTTTGACAAAGGATACCAGTCAATGCAGTGGGAAAAGGAAACCTTCTTTAGCAAATGGTGCTGGAAAAACTGAGTATCCACTTGCAGAAAGGTGAATCTGAACCCATATCTCTCGCCATTAATAAAAATCAACTCAAAGTGGATCAAAGATCTAAACCTAAGACCTCAAACTATAAAACTACTGGTGGAAAACACTGGGGAAACTCTTGGAGACATTGGAGTAGGCACAGACTTTTTAATTAAGACCCTCCAAAGCATAGGGAATAATCCTCAAAATAGACAAGGGGGATTACATCAGATTAAGAAGTTTCTACATAGCAAAAGACATAGTAATTATTGTGAATCAACAGCCCTTGGAATGGGAGAATATTTTTGTCAACTACGCCTCAGATAAGGGATTGATAACCAGAATACACAGGGAATTCAAGAGGCTTATCCACGAAAAAATTATTAACACAATTAAAAGATGGGAAAACGAGCTGAATAAAAAATTCTTTAATGGGAGAACTAGTGATTTCAGGGAAAAAAGAGAAATGAAGATTTTCTCCTGATAATTCAACCTCCAGCCCCCAAACTCGAGTGGTAGGGAGCCCCTCTAGCCTTCTCTCTGTCTCTCTGCCTCTCTTTGTATTCTCATTTGTTTGTAATTATTCCTTTTAAAAATTTTTATGGTAAAGTATTCTCTTGGCCTTCACTTCCTCCATTATATTGCTAATAATCCCCTTTTCCCCTCTCTTCCAGGAGAGGCAAGGGGCAGGCCTTCAGAAGAAGACTCCACCACTGCTCCTGAGAACCAATCATTTCATGCAGTGTGCAAGCACGCCACACAGTTTTTTAGTTTTTGTTTTTTGAAAAAAAAAAAAAAACAAAACTATTTTTTTCCTTTTTTTTCTTCTCTTTTTCTTTTTTCTCTCTGTTTCCTTCTCCTTTTTCTTTTATCTCATCACTTTGCTCCTTGATCTCCATTCACTGTGTTTTCAGTCGGATCTAGGGAAACCATAGCCAAACATCCAAATACTATTAGGGTTAACATATTCCTCAATATCCACTGAATCTGCTGCACAAAGGGATAAAAAGGGTACAGCAAAGAGATTCTAGATCACCTCCTTCTGCATGCTCCTGAACGCTCAGATTGAACTTCAAGAATTTAGAAAAAACACTACACCCATCAGATGACAAGAAATCACCACAGGGCCACAAGAAATATGGGAAAGCAAGAAAATACCTCTCCTCCAAGGGGAAAGAATAACTCCTCTTCATCCACAGACAGTTCAATGGAAATCATAGAAATGTCTGATAAAGAATTTAAAATATTCATAATGACAAAGCTTACAAAGATGGAAGAGAAGAGAGACAATGAACTGAAGAAGAGGCAGGAGAAAGGAGCTGACAGGTTCCAGGAGGTGAGGAAATTCTTGCAAGATATAAAAGAGGAAATACACACTATAAAAAAAATCAAATGAACCTGTTAGAGATGAAGGCTATAATACAATAAGTCAAAACCTCCCTTGAAAGTATTAAAAGTAGACTAGATCATATAAAAAAAAATCTCAGGTGTAGAAGATAAAATCACTGGCTTAGAAAAATCCGCCACAAAGACTGGCCAAAAAATTGAGAATAATATATAAGAAATACTAGATACCATCAAACATCCAAACATCTCTATAACTAGTATTCCAGAAGGCAAAGAGACTGATAAGAGCATTGATAATCTATTCCATGAAATCATGCAAGAAAATTTTCTAAACCTAGAAAGGAACTCAAAGATCCAGTCCCAAGAAATACAAAGGACCTCAAATAGAATCAACCTAAGATCTCTCCAAGACACATTATAGCCAGATTAACCAAAAACACAGACAAAGACAAGATACTAAGATTGGCAGGAGAAAAACAGCGATTTACCTACAAAGGATATCCCATCAGGCTAACAGCAGACCTCTCATCAGAAACAATGTGAGCAAGGAAAGAATGGGAAAATATATTTGAAGCGTGTGGGGAGCCAAGAAGGAGACATGAGAAATATCCAGGACAAGACCGCCAGATTATGACCAGGGTCACTGTCTGGACATGGCCTTGGGCGGCTAGATTGTTATGGGTAGAATGTCCTGAAACTTATTATGGAAAAAATGTTTCAAATAATTATTGCAACAGTGTCCCATGCCAAGAAAGCCAGATGGTTGTACATAAATACTAGCAATAAAGTACACTCTAGGCTGACCAGTACTGACTGGCAGTCCTCCCATTTCTATCCTGTTCTTATCTTTTTTAATCCTCACCCCCCAACTCAGCAGCTGTTCGCTGTCGGCAGGTTCGACAGAGTGGCGCCCGAACAGGGACCTGAGTACTAGGGATGCTGGTGAAGGACACCGCAAAGAGTTAACAGAGAACACGTTCATCTTAAACCGAAAGTGTTGCGGTTAGTACATTACGGGAGTAATTATGAGTCAAGACAATAGCTGCCAGCTTTTTGTACATATGCTTAAAGAAATGCTAAGTGAACGAGGCTTGCAGGTAGGGCAGCAGCAGCTTTCAAAATTTTTAGAATTTATTGAAGGGGTCTGTCCCTGGTTTTCAGAAGAAGGTACAGTTCACATAGATATCTGGAAAAAGGTGGGGCAAAGGTTCTGAAATTATTATGATGCCCATGGTCTGGAAAAGGTGCCCATGGATGCTTTCAGTTTATGGACTTAGAGGTGTTCTGGATTTCCATCACGAGTGGGAGAGGATTCTTCCTTCTGAGGATAAAAACTCTCCCCTGGCTGTTGGAATTTCTCCCTCTGCTTCTCCCTTGCAGGAGAAGTTGATAGGAGATTCCCCCCCCCCTCCCTGAATTGGAAGATGAGGAATTAACCCCTGAGAAGTTAGAAACAGACACCCTGTAATAGCTCTCAGTCAGGAAAAGACAGACATCCTGTAATAGCTCTCAGTCAGGAAAAGACATCCGTCCCTATTTCTCTGGAGCTATCACAACTGCAGATTGAGATGCGGCAGATTTTAGACAAAATACAACAGCTTCATTTAAAAACTTATAAAGACCAGGCTACAGGACAAGCAAAATCCATCTCTCCACTCCAACTTGCCTGGTCCTCTTTCAGAGGGCAATGCCCTAGCTGATGTTGGTACCCGTTTCATAACGCTTACACACTCACAACAAGCTGAACATTCTCATGCCTTACATCACCGAAATAATGCCAGTTTACACAAACAATTTGGCATCTCTCGAGAAGCTGCTAGACAAA